AATAATCCTAAATGTGTATACATCAAGTATTATAGCCAAAATATATAAAATGAAAATTGAAATTAAAAATAAAAAGAACATTGATAGCACCAAAAAAGAGCAACACCAACACCGTAATCATAGTTGTGGATTTTAATAACATCTTCCAATAACTGATAAAACAGAGAGACAAAAAAATTAGTAGAGATATAGAATGAATAATATCATTATTAACAAACTTGACCTAATTGACATTTATATGGAACTTGTACCCTTTGCAAGTACACAGGGAATATTTACCAAAATATAGAACATATTCCAGGCCATTATGTAAGTCCCAACTAATTTAAAAGCCTGAAAAGCCTGATATCATATAGGATTTGATTTCTGTTACTGGTGGAATTAAACTAGAAATCAATAACAAAAACAAACCAGAAAATTCCCTAGAATTTGAATACTAATCAACACATTGCCAAACAACCTACAGGTCAAAGAAGAAATAAAAATAGAAAGTCTAAGATGTTTCCAATTAAGCATTAAGGAAATGAAACATGTAAAAACATAGTCTGAAGATAAAGTCAACTTTGGATAAAAATTTATTGTCTTAAATGCATATATTATTCATATAAAAGAAGAAAGGTTGAAAATCAATGATCGAAGCATCCCTGCTAAGAGCAACAGTATAAATCAATGAAATTGAGAAGAAGGTAATAATAAAAAAATCAACTAAATATTGGTTTTTTGAGTAAACTAATAAAACTGTTAAAGCCCTAACAATACAGATCAAGAGAGAAAAATAAGGAGGAAAGACCCAAATTACCAATATCAATAATGAAAGAGGAGATATCATTAAGGATTCTAAAGACATTACAAAAATAGGAATGGTTCAGAACAATTTTATGCCAACAAATTTAAGATTTTAGAGTAAATGAAAAATTCCTTGAAAAACAGTTTAAGAAACAGAATCAATAATTTAAAACCTGCCCCCCTTTTAAAAAGCTGGGTTAGACAGATGGCTTAAAGAATAAAATTTTCAATTATTTAAAGAAGAAAAAACAAGAGTATTTTTTAAAAGTTTTCTAGAGAATAAAAAAAGAGGAGAATAATTCTCAACTTATTTTATGAGACCAATTTGTTTTGCTAGACCAAACCCTGACAAGGGCATTACATGAAAAGAAAATTACAGGCAATCTTTCTCTCTCATGAACTTGGATGTTGAATGAAACTCTCAAAGAAAATATTAGCAAATCTAATCCAGTGATATATTAAAATGACAATATTTAAAACTTGCATTTATTCCAGAATATAGCAAGAATTTAGCATTTCAAAATCAATATAGAAGAAGAATCAATCATATTAGAAGAATAAGGATATATTCAAGTCAATAAATATAGAACAATTAGGTAATAAAATTCAATACCCATTCAAGATGGAAAGTATTAGAAACCTAGCAATAAAAGAAAATTTTCTTAACCTGATAATCGCTAAAAGCCTATACCAAACATCATACTAAATGATGAATAATGAATACTGAGCACTTCCTTTCTGATACTGAGAACAAGAGAAAGATATGTGCTATCATTACTTAGAATGAACATTGTACTGAAGGTCTAGCCTGTGCAAGAATGAATAAGAAATAAAAAGCACAAAGATTGAAAAAAACTAAAGCTATCATTATTTGCAAATGATCTGATTTTATATATACGAAATCCAAAATCATCTACAGATAAGCTATAAATTAAATGAATTTGGCAAGGTCTTTGAATAAAAGATCAACATACAAAATAGTTCAATATACCCACACAAATTTAGAAAACAAAATTGGGAAAAATATCACAGTACATATAAAATAAAAAATTGATAAAATTTTACTTCATCAAAATTAAATTTTTCTGCTGATGAAAAGATAGTGTGAAGAAAATTAAAAAGGCAATCCACTGTGAGAAAATATTCACAATAATTATTTCTGAAAGACTTGTATAGAGAATATATTTTTTAAAACTATAAGTCAATCACAAAATAACAAACTACCTCATGAAAAAAAATGAGCAAAAGACTTGAACACATCAGAAAAGAAGCAGAAAAATGGGGAAAAGCACAGGAAGATACTCAACATTATTAGTTGTTAGGAAAATGCAAATTAAAACCAAAATGAGATACCACAAATGAAAAGACTGACATGACCAAGAGTTAATGAGAATGTGGAGTAACTGGAAACCTCAAACAATGCTGGAGAGAATAAAAAATGGTTCAACCACTTTAGAAAACCATTCAGAAGACAGACATATTAATACGACTCTGACTCAGCAATTCTACTTCTAAATGTTTACCCAAGAGAAAAAAGCCACATATACATCTGCACACACACACATACCCAAAAGACCAGTACAAAAATGGTTATTAAAAGTTTTATTCACAGTAGCCCAAAACTTTAAAAATCAAAATTTACATTAACAGGACAATGGCTAAATTATATATAACCATACAGGGGAATGTTGCTCAGCAGTATAAAGGAAATTACGGACACACACACACCAACATGGATAAACCTCAAAAACATTATGTTGAGTGAAAGAACAAGACACAAAAGAATATGTGCTGCAAGAGTACATTTATTTGAAGTCCAAGAACAAACAAAACTAGCAGAGGGTGACAGAAATCAGAACCTGTGGGGTGAGTGTTGGAGGGAATGATTGGGAACAGGCATGAGAGAATGTTCTGTGGTGATGGATGTTCTGTGTCTGGGATGGGGGATAGGTACACAGGATTTACCCTGTACATTTGTGCTGTGTGCATCTTACCGTATCTAAATTATACCTCAATAAAAAAGTAATTATAAGATCACTTATACTAAAAACAAAAAACACTAAATGTATAGGCATAAATCTAATAAAAATGTTCAAGACTTCTACCCTGAAAACTACTGCTAAGAGAAAGTAAAGAAAACCTAAATACATGGAAAGATAAACCATGTTTATAACATGATGCAGAGAAAGGATTATAAAATAGTAGGAAAGCACAAACTAACTACTCTATAAATAATGACGAAAAAAGGCACAAATTACATACAGTTTTTGGTAGCAAATGAAACTGGATACTTAAATAATTAAAATACTTGATAAACTATTTTTAAATTCATCACTAACTTGATAGAAAAATAAGGACATTGAAGTAAACAGAATACCAGGAAATAATCTAGTGCTAATGCTGGTCTTTGCCCTAATGGCTTTTGTTAACCTTTAAACTTCTGCTTTAAAGATTGTATTGTGTGGCTAGTACAGGAGATAAAGTCCTGGGTCAGCTCAAAGTTGGGATTCTAATAATAGAACAATAAAGTAACTCTAATCAGGGTTCCAGAATTAGACAATAGGAATGGCAAAGAACTGATAATCCATATGGGGAGAAAAAAATGACACATGGTCCCTACCTCACACTTATACAAAAATAAGCTAAAACTATAACCTTTCTAGAAGTAAACAAAGGAGGATATATTCATGATCTTGGAGAAAGCAAAGATTTCTTAGCATGAAGGCAAAAAAAAAATCAATATTAAAAGATAAAAATGTTAATATGGATTTCATCAAAATTAAAAATTGGTACTCATTAAGAAATATTATTAAGGAAATAAAAAGGCAAGCTATAGACTGAGAGACAATATTAATAATACATATATCTGACAAATGACTAGTATTTAGAATGTTGTTATAAATGATACTTACAAATTAATAATAAAAGAAAAAACAAGCAAAAGATTTTAACAGTCACTTACAAAAAGATATAGGAATTACCAGTAAGCACATGAAAAAGTGCCCAATATCATTAATCATTAGAGAAGTAAAAATTAAAACCACTGTTAGACATCACCGTATACCACTAGGGCGTCCAAAATTAACAAAACAATACTACATGTAGACAAGGATGTGAAGCAACTGGAACTCTTATGTTGTCGGTTAGAGTGTAAAATAGCACAACTACCTTGGAAAACTGACATCCTTGATGTATTATGAGCTGTGCTTTTAACCTTCCCCCATATGGTTACATGAATCAAAAGTTCCTCCTTTCACTTAAGCTAGTTTCACCTGCTAGGATCCAGTGAATTCTGGCTGACACTAACAGAGAAAACAACAGTCGGAGCCCCTGGTGATGTGGTGTTATGCTGGGCAATGTGGAGCCAGGGCCATTTAACCATGATTCCTAAGGCGAGGGCTTTAATAATTGTTTGCTCAGATATGCTTCCACAAAGCCAGCAACTCAGAACTGAGACCTAGATGGCATTTGTCACTTTCTCTGGCTGTGTACTTCTCCCTACCATGTCCTTCTGCAGATAATCTGTGTTGATTAGCATGAATGAATAAAAAGGAAGTGAGAGGAAATAACAAAAATCATGAAATAATAAATGTCACTGGTAAAATACTAATTAGAAAACCAGCTTTGGAGAATGTATAATGTACATGTAGTCCACATGACCATAAATTAAATATTTGCAAAAACAATGATTACATAGGGCATAGCCCTCATGAAAATGCTAGTGGCAATAGACACAGTTCTATATTCATGTAAGATGTTAAGTAAGATATTTGCATGTTCTAAGGATCAAAGTAACTGGATTGTACATAGACTAGTGGGCACATACAAGAACATTCTGAACTGGACTTTACATTTTTTAAATGTCAGACAAATGTATCAATAAATCAAATGGAAAACTCATTGTATTAAATTAACTTCAAGTTTCTATTTACACACAAATAACCTTAATCTATCAGTACGACTTCTGGGTCTGGGTTCCTTCCTTAGCCCCATATTTCTCAGGTTTTCAAGCACTGGGGACATGGGTTAGGTGGGATTTATATCTGTCTGACTCTACGTCGTTTCTTTTGGAGGCATTCATTGTTTGATTTGTTATATTGTGGATCTTAGCTTACTCTAATGCAGCCAAAAGCAACCATTTCCTGTTTAGCTTTATCATATTTCCCATCCGATCTTTCTTAACATGTAGAATATTTAACAAAAATAATGCATACCTGTGTCATAACACAAGACAAGTCTTGCACTGTGATTGCCCACACTCTGTGGCTCAAATCCCACTTCCAGTTGCATGGACTCTCCCACGTTAAGAGTTCCAACAGGTGGCTCTACAGAGAACGGCCTGCAACACACATGGAGACACACCATCAGAGCACATTTCTGACCAGTATAAGGAGGTGAGTTCTAGTTCTGCAGACAGCTCAAACCCCAAACTGCAATTTTGTGGTGTGGAAGTGAAGTATACTTTCCTCCCTAATGTGAAAGAACTTTTGTTTTAATGTTCAAATAATAGTAATACATCAGCAAGTTGAGGAAATCTTAAATGATGCAATAATATTCTTATTCGTTCAGCCCTTCTTTTAACATTCATTGAGTGTCCCTGCTGGGCTCAGACACGCAGATTACTGTGATTGCAAATGACTAAAATCCTGCCCTTGTCCTCAAACACTGAGATTGCAGTAAGGGTCAGATTAAAAACATGTATGCAAATAACGTCACTTGCAAAGGCTTAGTGCCTTCAAAGACAGAAAAATCAAGTTTGTGAGAGGTCAGAGGAGAAAAGGCATCATAGTAGAAAAATATGTCAGAGTCCCAAAAGTAAAGTGATGGTGCACTCAATCACATTAGGATAATTCCAGGTCAGTTTAATAAAGGGTCTATTTATATAAGGGGTGGAAAGAAGGCAGGGGAACTACAAGAGATGACAAGACACAATGTCCCAGGTATTAACAGTAGAGCTGCTACCACTTCTAAGCCCAGTGAACTATGGGGAAAGAGCGGCTTTTAAACTCTGAAGGAGGGGCCAAAAGAGAAGGCTACCTTATGAGGAGCAAGGAGCTTTAACCAATGGACACAGCCAACCCAGGTGGCCTCACTGGGAAGAAGACAATAGGGGAAAAAATATCCTGACCTCATATCTCCTTTTGTCTGATTGCCTGCGGGACTCTCATTGGATGAACCCAACCAGAAGCCAGAAGTCAGTCTCCTCCAGGGCTAGGCAGAGAATGCATCTGGAAAGGCAAACTGGGGACAATTTATATGTCTTGAAAATAGAATTTGGGGATGCAGACATTGTGGGGAGCGAGGGTTGATTTGGGAACAGGAAATCATTTCATTTAATTGTCTTGGAAGGGAATGGTAAAAGAGAAGTTGGATCTGATCGTGAAATACCTTAAATAACTTATAGAGTTCTTTCTAAATAGGAAACCCAGCCCATTTAATTATTTTCATGGTCCATTTCACTTCTTTAAATTGCTAGTTTTTCAAAGTAATGTGTTGTGCAATGTATCTGGCAGGCCGAGCTGTTTCTGATTATTTACTTCCATCACAACAGTTTTTAGAGTCATCATTCCTTAAATCTTCCCTTTGATGATAGACTCAATTTCAGAAAACCTAAGCCTCTGCTATGAGGGTACAGAGTTGAGAGCAAGGGTAGCACTGGGAGGTGCCTGAGATTACTGCTGTGGGACCTCAGGTACTTCCTACCTCAGGCTATTGTTTATTTTCTCTAGTGTTTTCTCCTTGATCTTCTCTCCTTTCACTTCTTGATTTTCCCACCTCCTTTCTCTGCCCCATCCCAGAACCCATGGCACCAATCCTCCAGTGAACCACAGGCACTACTGTAGTAGCATTCTGGGGCAGTGGTTATTAGTTTGGCCTCTAAAGCCAACTGAATGAGTTCATAACCCAGCTCTACCATGACCTTGGGCAAGTCAACCTTCAATTTCCTCACCTGTAAAAGGAGAGTAACAACAACACCTACTTCATAGGGTTTATAATGAGGGCTAACAGGGTTGCTATAGGTAAAGTACTTAGAATAATGCCTGGAGCCTTGGAAGTGCTATAAGAGTATTTACTATTATTTTTGTTTTTATCCCCCTTAATGGCAGACTCAAAATGCTAGAAGATGAACTTGAGCATAACTTTGAGTGTTTTTTTTTTTTATTTCAGAATATTATAGGGGTACAAATGTTTAGGTAACATATATTGCCTTTGCCTCACCCAAGTCAAAGCTACAAGCATGCCCATCCCCCAGACAGTTTGAATGCTTAGATGAGTCCAAGTTTTTATCCACTCTCCTTTCAACCCTTCACGCTGATCTAGAGAGAGTGTAAAATCCACACAGAGGTCATAACCGACCAATCTCTTATTCAGACACCTTGGTGGTCCTCATTATCTATGCAATCAGGCTCAAACTCCTATGCATTTGAGGTCCCGCACAATCTGTTCTGGTTTTTGCATTCTCTTTATGCACAGACATCCGTCCAAACAGCCTATGTGCCTGTAACGTCCCAAGTCAGTGCTGGAGCGGGATGGGGTAGGAAGGCTCTAGTCTCTTCACCTACAATTTCCCCCAACACTGCACCCGCTCTCCCTTTCCACCAGATTGTGCCTGGTACATAGACAGTCCAGAACTGCTAGGACCGCCTTGGAATAGTCACCTCTTCCCATATACTATACTCCTCCTGAAGGCACCTATGGCAGCACAGACTCAAAGTCACTTCTTCAATAGAATATTCCCTGATTCTCCTTTTTATAAATAATATCTCCTACCTCTCAGAGGCTATAACTTTCTTTATACTTCTTATTTGGTTTACTTTGTAATAGAATTATTTTTTATGCCTGCCTCTCCCAAGAGCTAGAAGCTTGAGAAAAGTGGAAAGGGAAGACAAAATCTCATAAGCACATATTCTATGTTGGGTACTACACTGGGTGCTTTACATACACCAGTTCTTTTAATCCTTAAACAAATCCCGAGAAAGTAGGTATAATTATTTGCATTTTGGACTTGAAAAAACAGATGCTCCAGTAGGGCAGGCAACTTGCCCAAAGATGCCCTATTAGGTACTAGTGGAGCAGGGAGGAAAGCCTGCCTTCAAGTCCAGGTTTTTTCTGCCCAACCCAAACCACCCTGTAATATGGCAGCCACGCGATTAGATTCATCTTTGTGTCTCTCAACACCCTATGCACAGTTCTTTGCTCATAGGAGCCTATCAGAAGAGTTTGTTGAATGAAATTATAATAAACTTTTATAGAGAAATAAAAATCTCTGTTTTTGGTTATCAATTTCTGTGACATCTAGGTGAAAGAGAAAAGGAGCAGACCTTCAGTAGCTCAAGAATATCTACTTCATGGAAGATGAAGGTGAGTCTCTCAGTCTCAAAGTTCTTTCCTTCCTATGGCCTCAGTAAGAATTTGAAGAATTAAGAACTGAGCCCAGTTTCCTGGCTTTGGGACCACAAAACAACCTTGCAAAATTTTCTTCTATCTTTGCCTCCCTACTTCCTAGTGTTTTTCTTCCTGTGCTGTGCTCTCATTTTCCTTTAAACATTTCTTGCTAGCAAAAGAACAGTTTTGAAATGAATTGGATATTATCAAATTGCAGAACCTAAGCTAATTTACTACAGAGAAAATGGCATTAGTATGCCATCTCTATGACCTCCAGGAATCCAAATTTCACAGAGTGGTAACAGGTCCTTTCCCTTTGTGCTAATTGTTGGGTTTAGTTTATACCAAACTTCTTCAGTAGGTAGACAGTCGCCTGGGATTGCCATTGCTACTTAAAGCTGCCTAAGCTTTCTTGATAAATCAGATGTTAATTGGATAGAGTGTGTTAAGCTCTGGAGCTTACACATCATCTATAATTTGATTCTGTATTTCATTTTACTAAATGCAGTTGGGCAGAACAGGCTATTAAAATATCAAGTATCAGAAAATGCTCTTATAAAGAAGTAACAGGTATTGCTCCTCAAGGGTATAAGACTGGTTCAGTCTATCAAAATGCTTGGTTTTGATATCACATCCTCATTAATACCGAATACTTAATTATAGAGGGAACTTGGCTTTGTGAAAAATCATGAGCCATGAGAGAGATTTGAAGGTTCAATCAGTTATGAACTGTTCTTAAGAAATAAACCTATTCCATCGAAATGAGTCAATATTTTAGCACAAGACTAAATATTGGTCCTATTATATTAAATATTGAATATGATATTATTATTTTTCTTCAGATAATCTTTCTTATTTAATTCCAACCTCAAAATTTTAGATTTTGAAATTGCTTCCTAATCCTCTCTATTTCACCATCCAATATTAATCCTACCTTAATAGTCAAAGTTATTTTGATACCTATTAGAGTTTTAGGTCAAATTTGTGCTAAAGTTGAACAGTAATAGTTTATATTCTCTCTGTATTTTATAGCACATTGCAGCTCCTTTTATTAGTGCAAAAAATATTATGCTTATTTTATAGTACTTGGAGCATATTTAAAAAATTTTTATTGTAGAGGTTTATAGTTGTAGCTTTGCCTTTGTAATATATTGTTAGTTAGGCATCCTATAAATGTTTATTGAGTGCTTATTTATTCTAGACGCTTTGCTAGACACTGAGGACATACAAATGAAAAGAGTTAGATACAATCCTTGCATTTGAGAAGCTCACATTCTAATAGGGGCAACAGTCACATAAAGAAAGTTCTAGTTTTTATAATTTACATGAACCTAACCATTTTAAAAACTTACCATTAATCTAATCATTATTTCAATGAGAAAAAAGACGATCTTTTTTTAAAATAATTTCCTGTGAGATGTCGTTTCTAGCTTCATATTGACACTAATAGTGGCAGGACCAAAAGTAGACCCTGCGATTTTGACTCCAAATTCTCAAACTATATCCACTGTTCTACTGATCTATAAACAGTCATATTAACTGAAGAACCCTGTCAGGGCAACAGAATCATCCCTAGTTTTTAGAATGGATAGTTGTCAGAGGATCTCCCCAGAGATTCTAATTCAACATGATGTGACCACAAATTAACCACATCCTTTCCCATTGTAGCCATCAATGTTCTCAGTTGCAAACAACAGAAGCCAACTGTGGCTAATTTAAACAGAAAAGGGATTGATTGGAAGGATTTGAGGCAGCTCACAGAATCAACAACATGGTTTAGACACATGCATTTTTGTGGAAAGATCATAAAACTACTATTTCATAAAAAGTCTAAATAGGAAACATTTGCAAGCAGGGAATTTAATTGAGAGACTTGGTTACATAGAAGATGGAAGAGATGAGAAACCCAACTTAAGACGGTGAGATAGCTCCGAGATTAGTAACAATAGTTAAGCCATTTCTACCCTTGGGCTAGAGACAAAAGGAGAGGGTGAAGTATTATCAGGTCTTGGGGACCAAGTAGAAGCTGGCAGAAGCTGGAACCATGGCAGTCTAGTCTCACCGCAGCTAGAACCATAGAGGAGATGCAACCACTGCAGGGGACTCTGCTGAAGATGAGGGAGAAGAAATACCCCAGCTTCTTCCTTCTTTCTACCCTCCAATCTCCTTCTACTGCCCAGACTGGTCATCCCCAGCTGGAATCCAACTGAGCCAGGAGGCTGGGACAGCTACCACAGCCCCACAGTGACATTGTGAAGAGCAGAGGAATGGTGAGAAATGGATCTGACGGCAAACAAGCCCAGAGCTGGCCCATCTTTGTTCTAACCCAAGTTTACATACTAACTTACTGGGGGAACTTGGGCAAGTCATTTCCTTTCTCAAACCTTCCTTCCTTCATGTGTATAATGCAATGATGGGCCAAAGGCTCTAACACTTATGTTTATGATTCCCTGCTAGTCCTTGAGTTGCCTCCCCATTTTACCTTAGAAATTTTTCTGTATTAGGAAAAGATGATTCACATGCATAATTATATGGATAGAAGAGTTTTAGATATTTTTCTGCAACTTCACACTATTAAATCTGTCAAGTAATTTTTGCTTCATATTTACATGCATCTAAAACATAAGAAATTGGCATTTATGTGCAGTTTTTAAGATTCAGCCAAATAGTCCATGAAGATATGCAGCCAACACTTGTCTTTCCACCTCAGGTGGGTTCTTCTTTTCATAGAAAAAAATGCCAATGTAACAGGAAGTTTTTAATATGTATTATGGATGGTGGTTGTGTATTATGGATGGGTTTTTTTTTTTTTAAATTGAAAAAGATGAGCTCTATCTAAGTCATGGTGAGCCAGCGGAACAAACTGCTTCTTTCTCCCTCATACAACATATATGAGGCTCACCATGAGATCACAAAGACTGTACTAGCAGTTATGAACAATGTTAGGAGATGCTGGTTTCCAAAAAAACTTTTCCTTTGCCTTTGATGGTTGATTTATTCAAAGTGGTTCAGAGTCTTGCTTCCACCTAGAATGCAGAAAGCTGGAAAGAGTGTTTCTCTCACCCTAACAATGTAAAAAAGGTCAGATAAATAATGAAATCGCATCATTTCCTGAGCCTGTGAGAGAGCTGAGGTTGCAGGGCAAACAGTCTGAAATCTAAAGACAGACAACCCCTATCCCCCAAGGGAGATGTACGTACTGTTTTCACCTGTGGCTTTCACCTGCGGGAGGAAGAACTTCCCTACAAGCAGAAGAAAAAGTGGGAAAGGATGGAGCAAAAAGTATTTAAAGATATAATGGCTGAGATTTTCAGAAAATAACGAAAGATCTGGAAGTTCAGACAACATTCAGCAGGATTAAAACCAAACAAAAGCAAAACAAAATCCTTAAAAACAAAAATGAAACCCACACCTAGACACAACATATTCAAACAGCTAAAAACCAAATATAAAGACAAAATCAAGAAAACGGCCCAAGAAAAAGAGATAATTACCTATATAGGAGCAAAGATAAGAACTATAACAGACTTCTCATTTAAAAAAATGTAAGCCAAAGGACAATGGAGTGACATCCTTAAAGTACTGGGAAAAAATAGTGTATATGTAATTGTTGACCCCAAATTCTATACTGTAGAAAAAATATCTTTCAAAAACGAAGGAAAAAAAATAAAGACTTTTTCCAGATAGACAAAAAGTGAGAGAATTTACAGTAGACTTATATAACAAGAAATACTAAAGGTAATTTTTCAGCCAGGAGATAATACTAGACAGGAATGTGCATCTACATGAAATGGTTCAGAGATAATGATTCTCTTAGGATACTTGGAAGAATAAACACAAATTCTCTCTCAAGGGGTGTGCCCTCAACCTGCAATTATGGCCAGCCCTGCTACCTATAATAGGGCACACTGGGTAACTTGAAAACTCTTCCACCAGAAAATACCTAGAAAGACTGGATAAACTATAACTTACATAAATGTGTACTTGAGCATGTACAAAAATAAGGAAAACTCACAGAATTCCCAAACAAAGAGGATACTGAGAACTGGAGCAGGAAGCCACTGAGCTAATGCTAGGTCTGGCCTGGGTTCCGAAGGGCTACCAAAACATTCTCCCATCAGCAAAAGAGAAAAATGTCTGTCTTGGATCTGAGTAAAGGAAACAAAGTTTCTCTAGGAAATTCATAACTCTGGGCTTGTGTCTTATGCAGTTTTAGGGTTTGCACATACACTAACAGTCCAGGAGTGGCAGTGTCTGAGCCAAGAAATTACCAAAAGAGTATTCTATAGCAGCCTAATCTTTGGGAACCAGGCAGAAGCAAATGCTAATCCTTTCTAGAGAGATGTGTCCTTAAACCAGGAAAGGATTCCACAGATAACGCCCTTACAAAAATTAGCTTAAATCTAGATCAATATACACACTAATTTTTAGAAAGTCATAGGGGAAAAAAAAACAAAAAAAACTTGACTCCCTGCTTCCTGTCTACCCAAACCAGTCATTCTTGTTAAAGCCCCACTGGTCAGCCACTGTTCTCATGTCCCATAACAAGTTGTTCCTTCCCATGGTATAAGAGAGTTCCTTGAGAGCAGGGATTGTCTCATCATCCTTTATACTGTCTCACAATATCTACAATATTCAGATTAAAATCCAACTCCATCACTTATTAGCTCCGTGCCATTGGGAAAGTGATGTAACCTCTATCTCCCTCAGTTTACTCACCTTCACAGCCAGCAATAGCAGGATGAGTCCTTCTCACATTTCATCACTCTGAGCTCTTCTATTTCTAAAAGCCTTTGTGATTACAATAGGCCCATCCAGAGAATCCAGGATAATCCCTTCATTTTAATATCAGCTGATTAGCTACCTTAATTACATCTGCAACCTTAGTCCCCCTTTGCCATGTAATATTAATACAATAGTCACAGGTTCTGGGGATGAGGAAATGGACATATCAGGAGAACCATCATCCTGCCTACCACACTGGCATTAGCTCATTTGAAGAAAAAATAAAAGAGCAAACACTTGTTACATGGCACTTGCTATGTACCAGGAGTTTATATTTATTATCCTCCCAACAACCCCTATGAAGTGGCTGGTATACTTTTCCCCATTCTTCAGATGAGAAAACTGAGGACCCTGAGCCAAGGAATGTGGATGGCCCCTAGGAGCTGTAGAAGGCAAAGAACTGTATTTTCCCCTCAAGCTTCCAAAAAGGAACATAGTCCCGCTCTCCCTTTGATTTTAGCCCAGTGAAACTTCTTACCTACTGAAACATAAGATAATAAATATGTGTTGTTTTAAGCCACTAAGTTGGTGGCAATTGAAAAATAATCAAGCAACTTATAAAAATTCTTGGTCAAAACAAATTTGTTTATTTATAAATTTCCATGCGCCATTCTCTATATTACAAGAAGCACACTTATTCAGCATTTCAAAAAACCAAACAGGTTGAATATTTAGTAAAAAAATGTATATAAGCTATTAAACCTTGAATTTTAGTTTCCTCTGACCATGAAGAAGTCTACCCATCAGTGAGGACTTCCAGCTTTGGAATTGAAGATTGTAACAAGCAGTTCCACCTCCAATGCTATTCGAGAAAATTACTTATGCTGACTAGATTTAGCTATAATCAATCAAAAACAAGAGCCAAAGGAACACATACATACCTATGAGTTTTGATGTGAAACACAGCATCTCTCTTGCCAATGTTTCGTACCAGCAGAATCTTCTGGGTGCTGTATTTGACAGGGCAAGTGGAAAAATTCAGCTTGTCAGGAAAATCCAGGATGGCTCTCGCACCTCTAGCTTTGATGGGTACGATAAACTTTTCTCTTTCAGTAACACAGGTCAAAATATGGGCATAATCCTGTAAGGGAAGGGTATGATCACAATCAAGATAATTACGCAAGAAAATTGGTCATACGCCAGGCATTTTGCACAACAACTTAGTGTATTTCTGTGAAAACTTCTCAAGACAATTACAGATGTACTTTTAATGAGATTCTCTTTTCTGAGAGAGAGAGAACTGTTCGAGTGTTAAAACCTACCAGCCTGTAGAGAAGCTCATGTTTCATGTGTTTCCCAGATACTAGGGAGATAGGGTTGGGGACAAGGACAGACAAGGCACATTATTCTTTAGATCAAAGGAGGTTTACACCAGTTCCCTCATGCCATCCTTCTAATTTATCCTTCTATTTATCCTTCAAGTCATGTATTAGAATGTTGATTCTAATTAATGGCTTCTTTATGCCCATACTCTCTGCAATGTGACTTTGCAGCTCCTCCATCCAGAATGGAGTTCCATTTGCTTTGAGCAATAGAAGGTGGCAGAAGTTATTTCAAGCTGAGCCTTCAAGAAGCTTCAGGCATGTCCAGTCTTGTTCTTAAAACACTGCCAATGGCATGTGAACAAGCCTGGTCTAGCCTACTACAGCATGTGAGCCTGGACGTGCCAGCCAGGATCATGCTAGAATGTCCTACAGCCAGCTGATGCCCAGATATGTGAGAGAGCCCAGCTAAGATGAGCAGAGCTGCCAACCTGATGCATAAGTGGGCCCAGGCAAGACCAGAAGAACCACTCAGCTGAACCATAGTCTTGTGAGCAATAATACATTTTCATTATTTTAAGCCACTGTATTTCAAGGTGGTCTGTTATTCTATAGCAATAGGTAACAGATACATAGTTCAGTTTAAACTTCACCTCCTGTGCAAGGCTATTACTGACCATTCCAAATAAAACGGCTGAAGCCTGAGGTATCTATCTTTCCCAATCTTGAATCTAAATGCAACAGAATTGCTGAATAATTACTCTTTTTTTTCATCTCATAAGATAGAAATAGAATGCTTGCCTGCAATATAGCAAGGAAAAAGTTAAAAGTAAACCCTCACCTCATAAGCAAAACTAAATGTAAGAGGAAAGGTATTAACAGTTCCCTCAAGAATAGGCCAAAAGCTCAGAAGTCACCATACTTAAACTTGTCGCATACAATAAACTTGTTACCTAAACCAGGTTTATTTTTCTTAATTTTAAGTTTTCCCATCATTTTAGTGTGTGTTTTAGCTGCAAGGCAATCTTGCTAAATGTACAGTCACTTTGAACTTAAATTTCCTTTTGGCAATCATGTAGTAAATGGTATTAAGTGATGGAAATTTTTTTTTTTTTTTAAAAAAAAGCTCCCTTTGGGCTTTGGGCATAGTGTAGGAATGAAGCCATCTGACATATAGACCTGAAACCACAGAGCAAGGGTGAAGCAGTGGCATCCACAATTATTGTATTCATTCAACTATGTTTATTAAGTGCCCAGGTGCCAGCACTGTAATAGGTCTAGGAATACAACTGATTAGGAAATGCAGACATGGGCATGGCCTCTTCCAGCTTACATTAGGATGGAAGAAATGATGAACAGATGAATAAAGGATATACAATGCACAGTGCAATTCATATGTAATAGCTATAAAGACAAAATAACCAGAATGGTCCATCAACAGCCTTTACACCTGCAATTCTCTCAGCCTCCTGGAACTCCAAACTCTACCCAGCTGCCCAGTTAGGACCTCATTGGGTATAAACTCATCATGTCTCAAACCAAAGTCCTTGATGAGTGCCACTGCCTACCACTGCATCAAGACACCCTACTGAGACACAGGAGTGGGGGCTGAAGTCCAGCCCACTGCTGGCCCCAGCTGCACCAGCCCAGTGGGGGGACCTTTTTATAGTACCCACAAAGGCCCCATGAAGCCAGCTGAAACCCTGCTCCTGACACTCCCTATACCCTAACCCCATTCCCATTCAGCCTCCCAGTCTTAGACCTGGCCTCTCCAGCCTTCCAGTGACCTGGATTTAAAACCCTAGAAGAAGAGCATCCTTGATGCTCTATTTCTCAGTTTCTTGGGAAATTCTGTAGGCCTGACAGCAAGACTGCAATCACTGACCCCTGCAATCACTCACCCCTGCCACCCAGTCCTAGCCACTACAATCTTTCCTGGGATAACTCCTGGGACTCTATTTCTACCCTTGCTCTCCTAAAGTCAAGTTTCCTCCCAAGGGCCAGAGGGATCCAGTTCAAATGTAATTCAGCTCAGGCTGCTCTTCTGCTCAAAAGCACCCCAGCTGAGGCTGGCATGCTTGTGAGGGCCCCACAGCTTGGTGCCCCTGTCATTTCTCTGGCCACATCTCCTTCTTTCCTCTTGCTCCTCCTGCAAATGCAGCCTTCCCCTTCACAGCCTCTGCACACAGTGACTTCTCTTTCTCTCCCTGGCTGCCTTATTTCTAAATTAACTCTCATTCTCCTGCCTGACTGCTCCCAAGCCTTCCATCCTGGCTTTGGTCTTCCTCAAAGCCATCTAGTATATTATCTATTCTACCTACTTGTTTAGTTTAATGAGTCATCCCCCACCATCGCCATGCCAACAGGAATCTCACCCTTCTTGCTTTGGTATACTCAGAGTACCTAGAACAAGGCCTAGTACTTAGCAAACATCCAACAAGTATTTGCTGAATGAAGGAAACTGAGCAATAAAATGGTGGTTAGTGATGAGTGAAGAGAATCTAAGCACAATACGGGGACAGAGAGTGACTGGAGAGCTCTTTCACATAGAGGTCAGGAAAGGCCTTTATGAGGAGATGACATTTAAGCAGACAGACCTGAGTGGGTGAGAGATGAAGCCATGTGGGTGGATGGCTCTCTGGGGGGAAGCATGGTTTGAAGCCTGGTGCCAGAGCAGAGCAAGACAAGGAGAGTGTTTAGACACATGGCCAAGAGGTTGTTGGGACCAGATCCCACTGGATCTTGTAGGCTGTTTTTAGGACCTGAGCATAACTGAAAGTATTTGTGATGCTGACAGCTGATCATGATGTAACCTGGGTCACACTAGCTGCTATGTGGCAACAGACTGTAAGGAGACTGCAGTGGGGAAAGGGAAGCTAGTTAGGAAGCCACTGCAACAGTCCAGGCAAGAGATGACACGGACTTGGACAGGTGTAGTCAAATGCTCAGCCTAGTGTTTGGTGAGAAGCAAGTGCTCAATAAATGTTAGCTGTCATTATTAAGCTTTTGCAAAAAATTTGTGTATGGCATATAGGAAAAATTTGATGATAATACTCATAATAATAATAGAACAAGATATTTTCAGAACAAGATATTTTCAGACAAGGGCTTTGACGAAAATAAAACATGGTAAAGTGATAATATGGGACACGGGGCTGCTTTAGGTTAGTATAACCAAAGAGGCCTCACTGAGGAGGTGACCTTTGGTTGGAGACTTGAACAGCAAAGGAGCCAACCAGATGAGATCTAGGAACAGAGTGTTCCTGGCAAGGAGAACTGCAAACATAAAAGTCCTAAGGCCAAATGAGTAATAAAAATTAATGGACAATGTTCATGAAATTTATTACAATTGAGTTGTTACACTCTTAGCTGTGCAATAGATTCCGGTTTCTAGATGGTAATGCCAGGCTCTTAAATTATGTTATACAGACACAAAGAAGTACAAATTGCACAAAGCATACTTGATTTTAGAAAACCCCACAGAATTCAACAATGCAACAGTCTAATTTGATTACAACAGAATCCTAAAGAGATAAGCACCGTTTTCACTTTTTCTTAGGAGATCGAAACAAGCCAGCCCAGGTTTTGTCGGGAATTATAAACTGGAAAGCACCTGGCACATGTGAAAACAATATTAATTGAGACTTTGAGAGAAAGAACAAAAGCTGCTGCTGAATCCAGGATGAGAGGAGTGTTCCTGACGTGTTTTGTCTTATTTTATTCTAAATTCACAGATCCTCTGCCTTGTTCTATTAAAAATTTAAGACAGCTGAAAATAGTTTAGGAGACTAATTGAAATATTGAGAGGGATGTTCTCAAACCTTTTCAAGGTCTGAAATAAGTAAGGTTTGAAGCTTGATCAGAATTACGTATTTTTTCATAATCAAGTCACATACCCATAACGAATATGAATAAAGTTCTTTACACAATTCTTTTAAAATGCATTCCAATTTCTGAAGCTAGCCATTTAATATGATTATATTAGGTTATGTAATATACCATTATATACTGCTCTACTGGCTTAAAATCAATTCAGATGCTAAGACTTGGGAGGCTCTGTCGGCATGCCAGCCAAGCAATTCAGTCGATGTGCCCCTTTCACTGTGCTTAGATCCAGGGCAATCGGGTCACCATTGAAAGCCAAAATATTTCTTCTGAGCTCTTTCCCCTCTACTATGAAAGACTTAGTCATGAATTACTTTATATCCTTAAATGCTATCCTGTATGACAATCCTCTCCAGATGAAACTTTTGAACCATTTTTTGTCACTAGCCTTCCTTCCAACATGCCCCTCTTCCAAACTCTAAAAAACCAGCAGCAGAATATGCAAATGGCAGACATGACTTTCTGAGAAGTGAAAAGAACGGATCTTGATTTACATGAGCCCCATGATAGAAAGCAAACATGGCAATAATTCTGTCCTTTCAAGTCTTAGGCAAAGGAAAACGATGCCTTGTACTGCGTGACTGTGGTGGTGAAGTGCAAGGCCAGTGTGATGACGCCCTCACACCCTCTTTCTGCCTTTGTTCCGCTCCTAAACTTTATGGAGGGATGGTAACCGGCGTGAAACCAGATATGATTAGGACTCGTTGAGTTTAATACTCAGTGGCTCTGGAAAATGTTCTAAATTTCTTAGCCAGATAAAAGTATTTATTATACACTATCTTATCACTCTGAAATTCACCCCTGAAAAGGGAAGAGTCAGTTCTGAAGTCCTGATCACTTTAAACATGAGACTGATCAGGTACCTTAGGTCTTGTCCTCTACCACGATGGCTCTTCATGTGATTTAGCTGGGGCCCTGGCTTCCTAGCAGCATC